GTGACCTGCTTAAATCTCTGTTTTATACCAGGGTCATCAAGCCCTGTCTGGAGAGAGCTTTTTCCTTTGTCTGTATATTTAATATCCATTTATCAAATCTTGAATGTAAAATATTATCTGCATCGTTCAGGGTTTATTTAAGCAAAGCAAAGCTGATGTTTATTTTGGAATTTTGATGAAAACTACCTTATTGTAGAGTAAAAAGGGATTCTTTTTAATGTTTCTGATTGATTTATTCAGTCGATGACTAATAACCAGTGACTCTGTGTGACCTCATGCCAGGCACTGTGCTCAGTGTGGTACTGCCTTCAAGGAGCTCACGACCAGGCCTCGGCCACATCACTAACAATGGTTCCCTGATGTGGTAAATGCTAACATTGAGACTGAAGATAATGGAAACCCACAGAAGGAGGAAATAATTCTGTGCAGGGTGGTGGAGTGTCGGAGAGGGTTTCACGAAGCAGTGATGTTTGGGTTGGGCCTTGGAAAATAAGGGAGTGTTCTGGGTAGAGAAGAGGGATGGAGGGTCTCCCCAGGCAGAGGGAAGAACACGATGAGCAATGACATGACTGACATGATCTGGACACAGGGCATGGCAGTGATGGGCATGCTGCATGGTGCAACTAGGGCATGGGGGCCTTCTGGGTGTATGCTGGCTAGGCGTGGGGAGTGATGGTGAGACAAACAAAGAGTCATTCCAAGTTCTGTTCAAGGTGATGGAGAAACAAGGACACTAAGAGGAGATCATCCTGTTCAAGGAGAGACTCCACCCTCACCTCCATAGATTTCTTCTGTTCCTTTTCAGAACTTGGAATTCCTTTCCCCCTCTTTCCACTGATGAGCTTGCACTCATTCTTGAACTCTGACTTAATTGTAGCCTTCTCTGTGAAAGTATCCTTTAAACCAAGAGTAGAATCAACTGCTTTCTCTGACGGGGGCCTCTCTTCTAAGAGCTATTATGAAACTCTTCATTCTGTCATCACTCAGTGCCCTGACTTACAGTGAGATGTTGACTCTCTGCTTCTCTCCAATATGGTGAACATCTCAAGGCCAGGTCAAGCTTTATTTTTATTCCCAGCATAGTTCACAGCCTATTGTACCACTTAAAAATGAAAGCAAAAAAAACAAGTATGTGGAATGAATTAATGTGAGACAGATAAGCTAGGTTGAGGTGAGAGTTTAACAGTACCCCAACAGCTGGTCTTAAGGGTTGCTTCAAGTTAACACACTCCTTACTTGCTGACCTAAGGCCCTTGATCTGTAACAGAACTAACTTAACTTTCTTTGAGATTTGCAGACCACCAGCCTTGAGGAGTGAAGGACCAGAACTTTCCCAGGCTACAGAGGCCAGCAAGTCTGTTGGAAGCCACCTCGGCTTTCAGATGAGCCCAGTAATTTTGTAGCAAGGTGCTGTTCTTTTTCAGGTCACACAAATGAATTTACTCACCTCCCTTTGTGTATCTGCAGAACTTGCCCTCCTTTGCAGGAAGAACACAGTCCTCCTGCATATCGGGAAACAAGAGCCGGACCCCCTTGCACAAGCCCCTAGCACTGAGTTAATGTCTATCCTTGGCACCATTGGGTCTGCATGGAACCAAGATATGTCACAGGCCACTGTACTCCCCTTGCTGATTAACTGCCTTAAATCCCTTTAAAAACCCCTGGGCCAGGCAGAACCCTCCGAGTTGGCCTTTGGACAAGAGTCTGGCTTCTCCCCAGGTGGCTGGCCTCCTGAATAAAGCTCAAACTCCTTTCCAATCCAAACTCATCTGTTGAGTAACAATCTTTCAGGTGATAGGCAGCTGAACTTGGGTTCAGGAACAAGAGTGTCATTGAGATATTCCTAGCTCTAGTGGCAGAAAGGAAGGTCTGTCTCTCACAATGAGGCCTGGAGAAGGACTACAGCAGGCTTTGAAGCTATGTCTGGAGAGATCATCAGGTACAAGGTACAAGCATGTGTGCAGAGTGCATTCAGGAAGTAATAACTTGGACAGAAGCATGGAGTAAAAGGTGAGGAACATGAGAGATGAGCTGGGGGAGGGAAGCAGGTCTCACACCATGGGGGGTCCCATATGCCAAACCAAAGCGCCAATGGGAACTAGGAAAGGCTTTATGCAGGGAAGAGGTAAGATTAGATCTGGGCTTTAGGAAGATCACTAGTGTGAATAATAATGACAATAATAATGACAAATAACCTTAATTTACTAAATTAATTACTTATTATGTCTCAGATATAGTGCCAAGTGTTTTAAAAGGTCACGGCTTGGACTTCAACCTTGGCCATTTGACCTCAGAACAGATGTTCCTCACCATCAGGTGCTTGGACGGGAGGTACAGAGGTACCAGGAGCCTATTGAAGGAACGTGGATGAAAAGTAAAGTGCCAAGGTTATGGTGTTAGGTAGGGAGGGGTAAAATCCCGAAGATTCTTAGGATTTGGAAATGAAGCAGTGGGAGAAGTAGAGATGTACTCCAAATTTCTGGTGGAGTGTCACTGTGGATGGCGGTGGCGCCATTGGGATACATGAAAAGCAGGGTACCATTGTGTTAAATAAAGTTATGAGTTCATTCATTTCTTCTTTTTCACTCTCCCTGTACAACTTCTAAAGAGAAAGGCATGAGCTCTCAGAAAGACCACAATAGTTCTTGTAAATTGCTCTATTTAAACTCTATATGAGCAACAAGATGCAGAGTTCATTAAGAAATGCAATTTTCCATTTGGTGATAGTTCTAATATTGAAATAGACTGAATTTGATGTAGTAATAAACATATCTTATGAATACCCAAATTGGGCTTTTCAATTATTTTCTCTGTCTAAAAAATAGACTGTTTTCAATTTCTCATTTGGTCAAATGGAGGGGTTATTAGGTTCATTACCAATGGTGTTATTTTTGGCTGTATACTTTTAGAGCAGAGTAGTTGTGCATGAGGACTCTAGTCCTTACCAGCACAGGACAGTGATGAGAACACGGTATCCAGGGCAACCAAGAGCTCAGCCTTTTCAGTCCATAAATAATCATTCCTTGGTTTGCCCTTTGTAATGTTGGTCTCCAAGCTACTTCATGACAGAATGAGTTCGTTCAGGAGGCCACTGTTCTCTTTCTTTCCATTTAACTGACTGCTGAGGAATATTTTATAAGAAAGGCAATATTTCAATTCCATTGTAAATTGCATTGGCAAAAATCTGCAACTTACTCTTAATGTTCTTAGGTCTGCTACAAGGATACTCTGAGTAACCAGCACACAGGGGTGTTTTTGTTGGATGGGTAGATACTCTTTGGCACCAAGGCTGCTGGAAGCCTTATGCATGTTTGATCATTTAGTTTAATGAAAACACAACTAAGGCAAGGGAAGCCTAGAGGGTGGGCAAAGTAGGGATAAAAAACACTCACGAAAACATCCTTCTTTCCCTAGATCTCCTTAGAGTCAATCTGAATTCCTCCTCCATTAAGACGTGTATGTACTCTCCAGAGCAGAAGTGTTACCATCCGCTGGATATCCATGGTGCCCATTTGGCAAATTAAGTCACACACTGAGAAGTCACCCTCTCACGGTGGTTAGGAGCTCAGACTCAGGAGTCATGCCAAGCTAAGTCTGAGTCACTACACTCAAGAGTCTCAGTGTTCTCACCTGGAATTGGGAACTCAACAGTGCTTACCACGCAAGATGGCAGTAAG